TCTCCGCAGAGGGTTGCGCGCGCACCGGACAAATCGCACTCTCGCCTGCATTTCGCGCACTCGACAAGAGGGTTGCGCGCACACCGGGCGAATCGCGCTCTCGCCTGCATTTCGCGCACTCGACACGCGCGATCTCCGCAGAGGGTTGCGCGCGCAGCCGGCAAATCGCACTCTCGCCTGCATTTCGCGCACTCGACACGCACGATCTCCGCAGAGGGTTGCATTTGCGGTTGACGCTGTTCGTCCCACCCTCCGCCTTTAAGAGAGTTTATAAAGTGGGGAAATGTTTTTCATTAGGACATCTCCCGTGCTAGTTTTCCATGCTAGTTTTCCATGTTCACTCATCACACTTGCATACTCATTGCATGCTTGCATACTCATTGCATGCTTGCATGCTCATCATTAGACTTGCATACTTTGACACTTGCATACTTTGCACTTGGATGCTTTCGCTCTTCCAGTGTGTGTGTGTGTGTGTAAGTGTAAGTGTCGAAGTGTAAGTGTCGAAGTGTCAGTGTTCAAGGGATTTTCCGGAAGAACCCTTCGCAATGCTTTCGGGAAAAAAAGGAAAAACACCAAAACACCCCCCTGGACCTTCAAAGGGTGTCCAATGGAGATCCCTAGGTTGTAGGGGCTTCCAGCCCAGGTGACCCCTTTGAAGGTGCGGTGCTGTTCCCTCCCTTCACTTCCCGAATCAGCTGCCGGGGTGGCAGAACGGACACTTGAGATCCGGAGCCGAAGCCTGACGAGGCAGTCGGCACGGAATCTGTTCCGCAGCTGTAGAAGGGTCGTTCTGTTCGCCGAAAAAGAAGGGGAGTTGGTGGCTCGGACCTTGCCGAGAACTGAGGAATTGGAAGATCAAGACTGAGAAAACCAAGTGTTTTACTTAGATGAATGGGCACTCTCGTTACTGAGAATTGATCAAGGGTTTTACTTGGACCCTGCCGAAAAGCTGACTGAGAAATGGTGATGGGTGAATTGGAAGCCATTTGGTTTCCTCTTGACAAGTGCATCTCTCTATGTGCATCGCAGGCCGAGGCTGCCTTAAAGCAAGACGGCTGACCGTGGATGTTGGGCTGACCATTCGAGCCATTTTCCAGTATGTTCGCAAACATGAGTTCTTCATGGTGCAAAGGGCTCGATGCATCGCATGACATCGCCAGCCAGCATGAAAAGCGCGCGCGCGCGCCTCTCGCAGTGTTGGGACTGCGGTCGCCCGAGCGACTGGCCGTAGCGTTTCACGCGTGGATTTTCGCCGGTGGTGGTGGAAACGCATCTGCTACGGGTAAATCAATGGACAGTCCTGCCTCTTGCATGTGAAAACATGTGAAAACCATGAGGTGCCCACAGTGGAACCGGGTGATTAAAGTCATATGAAACATTGTGAAACCATGTTTGCTTTGGGTATTATAGGGACCATGTCACCATGTGTTTCTGCAATGTTCTCCACCATGGTCCTCTTGGGGCGGCCCTTGGACGACTGCCACGGGCTGAAACAACGGAAAAGATGCCACGCGTTGGCATCATGGTTGTACAAGTTCGACCCTTGAAGGAGCTCGGTGGATCTGGTTGTTGTAGTCTAAAAATGGCTGACTGGTGCTGACGAAAGTAGGGAATGAGGGAATGGATAGGGTGGCTGGATCCAAAGGAAGCTCTATTGGGGCGACACTTCCCTCATTCCCTACGAGTCGCACCAGTCAGATGTTTTCTTTGCCAAAAAAAGGATGTGAGAAAAACAGGATTGGTTGTTATTCCGGTTGACCTGGTCTCTACCTGGTAAAGAATAATCAATTGGAAAGGAATTTAGGTCATCCAACGTAAAGCAAGGGTTGTCTGGAAAAGATCCTGAAATCCTCCGGACACTGCCTGAAATCATTATGGAAGTGGAAAACGACCACCTGGGGTGTGTTTTGAGTGAAAATGGTCATCCGAAATCGAGGCCATGCCATCCACTTAATGTGTATATGTGTTTTTTCTGTTTAATTGAGTTAACAATTGTGGGCCAGGAATTCTAGGGATCCTGCAGACCAAGTTGGACGAATATTCCTCTCACCTGCCTGGACATTGACGCCAGATTGCTTTACCAAACTGCTTTTTCCTTGAGAGACATACCCTCTTTATGCCACGGATCCAACATATAGTGGTCCCCAAATACAAAGAAACGATGTCCAATACATTCTTCGTGGGGATCTACTTTTCTATTTGGGAGTCTAGTGATATTTAGTTATAATGATCAAATGCCTTCTGTCAGGTCATATGCGTTGTTCTCCATTCCTACCGCCCGTTGTCCTCGCCTACTGAGCGGCACTCTCTTCGTGGTCGCGCCGCGACACAGCTGCCTCACCTCAGGAACATCAGGAACATCAGGGAACCTGGAAAAGGGGAGGTGTCCCCCATCCGGGAAAAGGGATCCGTCGGGAAACCAACGCGAAAACGTGGTGGCCGAGCTGGGCAAGCATGACGAGTAAGGACGTTCGCACACTAAGAAGCATTGTGGCAATAAACATGAAACAACACCAAACGCCGCAGTGGTTTCCGGGTGACGTCCGCATGAGCCCATCGTCCCCCATCGTTCGGCCCCTCACACGACGCGCGGATCCGAGAATCCTGGCCACATTGGCGATCATCTCGTTGTGTTGCCTGACGTCAGTGGTGAGTAGTGGTGAGTAGTCATGACTCAGTCGACTGCATAACGACCATAGTCATCATCGTCCATAGTCATTTCTTCGGACATGAACGTCCAGAATGGGCAGAAATGGTGAGATGGATATATCTACACCAGGAGCTTCTACTCATACATCCTCTCAGGATATGATTCATTCATGTCCACCATGCAACGCCGCAAAACGCCGCAGTCTCCAGTCTCCCGAGGTCCACAACTCGTCCGGTCCACGTAGCGATGCCCCTTGCTCCGGACTCGTAGCGATGCCAGGAGCCCCGTTCGGAGCGTCCTTGTTCCTAATAGCTTCTTGTTACTACTAGTAAGGCACTTGTTACTACTAGCGTGGCACTTGTTCCTAGCAGCGTCCTTGTTCCGTTCGTTTTTGGTCCCGCCTGAGAGCCATGATGTGCTCCCCGCGCCGCAGGCGACGATAGCGCTTCACGCGCACCTGCGCGGCGGCGGCAGCTTCTTGCACCGTTGGTTTCCCGGCGGCCAGAGGGGGCGAGTCGCTGGGGCTCGGCTGAAGACATAGGTGAAAAGGATTGAAAAGGCATGAGGTTCGGCGTTTCTTTCACTCTTGTGAGATCTATCACCTTGTGTCCAAGAATTGGAAAAGATCTGAAAAGAATGAAAAGACTTCACTGTCCAGTTCTCATGTGGCCCCATCTCCACCGTGAGCAGCACTTGGAACTGCAAATGCGTCATCGCGTCCTTCGCTTCACCACAGGGAGTCATATGGACGATACAAGGACTCGTCGTTTCAACCTCTAACGTCCGCAGCTTCACCGCCAAACGCTTCGGCAAAACGCGGTCATAAGTGGTTTTGCTCAAGAGATGTGACCAGTCATACTTTGGACCGGTCGTTGTGCTGGCGGTGCATCTCAGAACCACCAAGTGCCGTCCTCAGCCAGTTTTGAACTGCTCTGAACAGGCACCAAAAAAGCAAACCAATCATACAACATGCAACTCCTCCAAAGAAGCATATCCAAATCCAAGCCATTCCAAACCTACAAACCTCCGTAGAACATGCCACAAAAAACACACGAACAAAAACAAACGTTCTGGAAAAGTCATCTGTACCTCAACGACTGGGAATTGAAAAGTCCTTCTGAGAAAAAAGAAAGAATTCCATCACCACATGGCTAAGGGGTACGGATGTCTGGTAGGTTGACCATGTCTAGGTATTCTATTCTGTTCATTTCAGCTCATCTTCTGTGGGACAAACCAGGGAAAAAAACCCAGTGCCCGGGTTCAAAGCACCCCCCATATCTCTGGCACCACCTGGGCTCCCTGCCACGCCCAAGTTCAGTGTCACGGCCGCCTGGCACGGCGTGGACCACTGGGTGCCCTGGTCTTGATCACCAAGTGCATGACCACTTATTGATGAGAGGTGATGGAAACCGAGTTCAGAATCCAGAATTCCCTGCTCTACTGCAAACTGTTCCTTCCATTTTGGCTACACCGCCATCCTATGCCATCCTGTGCCTCACGCAGGCCGTGCGTTACTTGAACGAGTTGATGGTCACAAGCTTTGCGCTCACAGTGCCAATCAAAGCTCTCACCTCCAGCGCGTGTTGGCTCACCTGAGAAACGGAGGTGGACGGCTTCTTCCAACTGCACGTTGGACCATGGGCAGTTGGAGGGAGGGTAACTCAGAAACATGGGGAACAAAAAGTCTACCGGCATGTTCCGGCCATGTCACGGCCAGTGGCAGGGGTCGGCTTATAGCCACATAGCTGGGTAGCATGCAAACGGCTTTTATGTAGTGATGTCCCTGGTGGCACGAAGACATCCTGCTCATACGTGGCACACAAATCTACAGACTGGTCCATGCATCTATATAATAAATATCCCATTATATTATTGTTTAAAAAGCGGACAACGGCTGGCTCCACATGGCTGTGGGTCGAAAAAAATGTCCAGACCGACCGATTGATTGACCTACCCAGAGAATCTGTTTTTTGTTGACGATGCCTTCTTCCTGTCAAAAGCACAAGGCGTGGTCCAGCCAAGCTCTGGCTGAACAGCTGCAATGGAATAACTCCCTCAGCGCAACAATTGCACCACTTCCAAGTTGCCATTCTGAGCTGCAAGCATCAAGGCTGTTGCCCCATCTACCCGGGCCACATTCTTGTCAGCTCCAGCCTCGAGCAACAACCGCACCACTTCCAAGTGGCCATCCCGAGCCGCAAGCATCAAGGCTGTTGCCCCATCTGCCCGGGCCGCATTCTTGTCAGCTCCAGCCTCGAGCAACAACCGCACAACTTCCAAGTGGCCATTCTGAGCTGCAAGCATCAAGGCTGTTTCCTCATCTGGCCTGGCCGCATTCTTGTCAGCTCTAGCCTCGAGCAACAACCGCACCACTTCCAAGCGGCCTTTCCGAGCTGCAAGCATCAAGGCTGTTGCCCCATCTGCCCAGGCCGCATTCTTGTCAGCTCCAGCCTCGAGCAACAACCGCACCACTTC